GAAGCTCTAGCTTCCACCCTTATCGACCTTTCCTGTCCAACCCCCACCTGTCTTTTCCCATCCCTCCTCTCCCCGCTCATCCTCATCGTCCTCCATCAATGTTTATTAATTTCTTCTATCAGGATTTCTTTTACCCTCTTTCTCCCTCTTCCTACCCCTCCTCCCTCCTCCTTCCCCCCCTCATCTGTCTATCATCCTGTCATGTTTTGACATTTTTTCTATTCTCATCTCGGAGCTGTCTTCGCCCATCAGACAGTTTTCATCTCATTGTCACTTTGCCTTGTCATTTTTTCCTCATCCTGTCTCCCTGACGCTCCTCTAACCCCATCTCCTTCTCCTCCTCCTCTTTTGATTTTACCCGCCTTTGTTATGTTAGTCTCTCACGATGACTTTGAGGTTTATCTGCACACTGAATACAGATGGAAAACACCTTCAACACATTCAGCAATGCAATATAAAGATCCAACTCAACAAATCCCTCCTTCCCTCGCAGTTTCTTTAGCAAGTTTGGTCCTGAAAGGTTGACTCCCAATATTTGGTTCTGTTTGAATCCCACATGCCAGCCAGCACCTGTAAACAGACGTCACATGGGCTCACAGCATGCAGCTTGTTAATTGGGCAGAGTTGTGGAAACCTGTCATCCCACCATGTTTTCAATGGATTTGGCCTGAGTCCAGACAAATCTGATTCATGTGCCTATAAAATAAATCGCTGCTTTAATGATGCATGATGAACTTTACCTTTTTATCTGGTGTTTGATCTGGCTCAGTATGAAATCTGCAAATCATGTGGATGTGTAAGCAAGCGTGCATGTACGCATTCATTAGATCGGGGTTTACCTCGGGTTCATAGCTTCCCGCCATTTTTAACTACTAAAGTGTGAAAATCCATATTATTCCTTGAGGTGTGTTTCAGGCCCCCCTTCTTACCTCAATGTAACCCCCTGCAGATGTCCAGAGGTGGGCCAACCCTGAACCATACAGTCAGTACATTTACATGATGTTGAAAAAGATTGATTTATTGTGTTAGACTAAATTTGACTTAAACTGGACTTTTAAAATACATGCTAATCTGATTGAATCAGAATCAGAAAAGGGGGAAATTCGGTTGTTACCATTGCTCTTAACACAATACAGCAGTAGGAAATATAAAAATAATTTAAGGATGTAAAAATTAAATAGAATAGAGATAATAAAATAAGCAATAAAATAAGCAATTAGAACCAAGTAGGACTAGTATAAGATATGTAACAAGATAAAACAATATTTACATTATGAATGTACACAATGAGAGCTGTGTTAAACAGATATCAATATTAATAAGGATCGTTATGAACAAAATTTGACCGGTTGCAGACAGATTGCACAATTTCAGGGTTAATAAATATGTCCCGGTTAATAGTTCAGTGTCCAAGTGTGTGACTCTTAAAGGAAAGAGTTATAAATCATACTATTTCTCAAAGTCAGACCAACACTTCTTTCACACTTTGACAAAACTTTTAAAAGCTCCTGATATTTCCAGGAGTAGCTGTTTGTGTGAAAACAAACAGTCATTTTAGGATCATTCACAGAAATCTCGTATATTTCTTTCTTTGTCTTTCACATCACTCTCCTTCACCTCAACAGTCCCACTTTGTCTGTGTTTGTTACACTCACTCTTCCTCTCATTATTTGTTCCTGTACATATCTCATTCATCTTAAAAATCTCAACATCTCTTAACTCTTCTCAAAACATGTTTTTCCCTATAAATCCACAGCCAACTAACAAGGTGTACAGCATATAATGAACAGATGAAGCAGAGTGTTTAAGGTGTTTAGAGTAAGTGATCACTGACTGAGCTGCAGTTTAGATAATTATCATGTGTTGGGGAAACAAAGTCTGTGCAGACACAGTGACGTCAGCAAACAGATTCATGTTTTCATGGATAGATTTCTGTGAAATGTGAGGTTCTGTGAGGTTGTAAATCTGTGGGGCAAAGCAGAGGTTATGTCTCTTTATTATCTTTTTTTGTTTAGTAACCCTTTTAGAAGTCATACAGCAGGAAAGTGTTGCCCTATCACGATATCTTTTTTATTTAAATGTCAAATAAAAGCTCAAACTGGCTGAGCAGACTGTGACAAATGTGTCAGTTCAAAAGAAGTTCATCATGTTTGAACTTTACCATTGCATTGAAATTAGGGATACAAATAATGTGGCATGAACCAATGTTGGAAGCCGATGTTGTGCCAAATCAACTTAATGCTGGCATCTAGTACCCCTAACTGCTGATTCAGAGGAGAGTTTGTTCTTACTGGGCACATGAAGTTAACTTTTTAAACAATCTTTCATGTTTTCATTGTCAGACTTCAATATTTCTAGCTCCTTCCATCAGTTAGTTTAGAACTGAAGAAGCCTTTCGGAGAAGAGGAGAAACATCTTTCAAGTTCTTCAATCAAGTCCAGTTGCCTTTGGATCAAGCTTTGATTTATCATGACCTGGATGACTGAAAACCTACACAGAAACATCGGTATCTGAATCGGCAATCAGTTAAATTGTAATTTCAATCGGTCCTGATTTTCCAAATTGGTGCATCTCTAAATGAAATCTGATAGACATATACACAGGCCGTTACAGAGGACCTTTTAAGTCCTTACAATGCCTTTTTTATGCCTTAAAATACTTGGTCGACCTTGGTACATACCCATCCACCTGCTATGTGTTTCACAGGGTTATCCATCACAGCAAAAGAAAAAATGAACTACCTGATTTCCCACAGCTTCAAAACTATACATGATCCTTCCTTTAATCAAATTGAGTTGAGTGTGCTGCCAAAACTAAAGATGATAAATCACTATTATCTCCTTTAATTCTTCCCCTGATTGAGCCAGTGTTTGGGGCTTTAAGCAGCACTGAGCAACAATCTATGTTCATTATCAATTCAGCTATGATTCAGATCGTCCCAAAGGCTTCTATCTCATTTCTACCAAGGTATGCTTTTTGTGTCCTCTGCCTCCTGATTTCTTTGGTAGGTAGTAGTCCAGAACAGCAAGGTTGCTAAACAAGAGTATGCTGGGTGCAATTAATCAACATCATAGGTCCAATTTTCTGGGTTTTGAAGTGTAAACATTTTTCTGCCTCTCGCTGCTATTTAGAGCTGCCAACGTGTGAAGCCATGCCTGCTGCTGCTGCTTTAAAGCCTATATGTTTATGCTTTTAGCTTCAGGAGCTGATGCCAACTCCCTAAAAAACACTCGGCTTAATAAAAATATGAAAGTTAACACAAGGCAGACATATACGTGCAGTTTGCTCCAAGCTCTCCAAGATTGTGTTTTGCAACAGTTTCATTTCATCTGCAAGGCTGCTTCTTCTCATCAGAAATGTTTGTTATCATGCATCTGTCTGCAGATCTGATCCAGATAAGGGCGTTGTGTGTGTGTAAGTGTGTGTGTCTGCGTTTGTTTATTCACAAAAGATACATTTCTTTTGTTGAGCTCGAGTGTCGAGTCTGATAAGAGGAGCGAAGCTGCAAGACAAAACAAGTGTGGGAAAAATGTTTGTGTTTGTCCAATGTGTCAGTTTATCTGTTTGTTGTTAAAAGAAAAAAGCTTCATAACTGGCCTCAACACACAGATCCTCTGTAACTAATGCTTTACCATTTGTCTGCAGTGGGTCCTCATTATTTATTGTTTTTTAATCAATTAATTAAAGAAAAATATTCATTTGTATTAACTATTGTCCCTTAATCTATCCGTATCGTATCTGTTTTTGAATTCACAACCACACTGTATTCATAGAACTGTTTAGATTTGCTTCTCTTCTTTCTTTATATCTCTTTGTTATTTCTAAAAGCCTCCCGTGTTGCAAATTAGCATTTTCCTAGAAACACTGAGAGCAGTGCATCTGGGACTTGAGCATAGTCAGATGTTACAGCTCCAATGTTACTGCATATCCATGTTAAATAAATGAAATCAAATAAGAATGCCGATGCTTTGTTTTGCATAAATGTAACCTTGGGACAAACTCCACTAATCTCCACCCTCTGGAGACACATAGAGGAGTACATCAGATGACTCAAAGTTAACACAAAGAATGGATGGAGAGGAAAACTGCTGGCTTGACTTTCATGACTCCCAGTCTAACAATGTACCTCAGTTTGTGTAAGTCGGCAATGCAGGCGTAGAAGGGCTTATTTTATAAAAAGAGATATGTGATTGGACAGTGTCAGTAACTGAGAGAGAGAGAAAGAGAGAGACAGAGAGACAGAGAGAGAGAGAGAGTGGGGAATGACGTGTGGCAAAGGAGCCACAGGTCGGATTCAAACCTGGGTTGCTGCACATGGGGTGCGCGCCCTAACCTCTATGCTACTGGCACCCCAGGGCTTATGTTTGAACCTTGGAAAAACACACTTTAAGTATTTTCCCCTCTACCATTATTTATGCTAAGCTAAGCTAATGGACTCCTGGTTCCAACTCAACACAGACATGCAAGGGGAATTTAATTTATCATTTACTTTTTTGCAAAAGCCGCATAAATAAACAAGCCAATCAAATGTCATTATGAGTACTATTCAGTTGGATGTATTGCTTGTTTGGTAATGTATGTAACTACTATTGACAGCATTTTTTGTAAGTCATCTGGAAAACAAACAAAGACCTAAGAAATAGAAACTGGCAGCAGTCCTCTTAAAGTCCCGTGTGGAGGTTTTAGCTGGATGAAATGAACGCTGATCTTTTATTCATGACCTAGACTCTCAGAAACAAACGACTATTCCTTTATTGGTTTGTTGTTACGCCTGAAAACATCTGGCGAAAAGGTGAAGGTGTCAGATGAAGTGAGTCACAGCAAGATGTCAAAACAGCCTTTGTTTATACTTCGCAGTGAAGATTCACAATGAATGTTATTTTTGACTGTTAAGAGAAAGCAGGATGAGATTGTTTGAGACCTTAAAGGTTATACGTGATCTTACATGGTCAAATATTTGAAAGATGAATGTCAAAAAATTAATCTTTTCTCCTTTTCAGAGTTGGTCCATAATGGCCGCCTGCTGACGCTGCCCCTAGTGGCGGGAGACCTGCATTCTCTGCTGCCTGACGAAGACCGGAGGCGTCTGTACGTGGCCATGAAAGATAACCTGCTGTCTACTAGTCTGGATGACATAACGCAGAACCCACGCAAGGTTAGAACTGGAGGACACTCATACACGCATTCACATACCATCTGAGGCGAGGGATGAGACAAACATACAGCAGACGTAAACATGCTAACATGCGAGGAGATTCACATGAAGTATACACATTCATGATGGGACTTAATGAGGAATGTTACATGCCTCTGTGTAATATCCCTTTGCATTAAATCCTCTGTTATTTGTTTTAGTTTTCATATAGAATCCCAGTTTAAGCAGTGAAATGACATCATCCTCTACTCTCTCATCTTGTCTTTCAGTTTTCTAAAAATCTTTAAATGCCACTTTTTCAGAAATAAAATAGTTGTGATCCGATAATGTGCTTTCCATTAAATCTTCAAATGGTGAAATGCTCTTTTGTAACCTTAATCTTTTTTTAAGATTTTAGAAACAAATCAATAATGAAAGTATGGGTTTCTGTATGGCTACAGGTCAGTTTCTGCGCAGACATAAGAGACAAATACAGCAACAACAAAAAAAGTCAAACTGCCACGTTATAACAAAAAAAAGAAGCATGAGTCCATGTTGGTCCAAATTCTGATTGCAATGTCTCTAAGTGTATTGATGGTCAGGTGAAGTGTCTGGGAAATCACAATAAGACAATGCTGAGGGAGAGTACAAGGTAGCAGAGTACACCACAGTGCAATACAAAGCATTTAAATACAATCAGTTCCAACTTTGATGTCTCTCGTTCTTAATATACTCAATAAAGGCTCCATAAAGGTGTGTGTGCGTCAGCGTGTACTGAATTTCTTCAAGATATAGACAAGAAACCATGTGGTTTAACCATTCTTTATGACAGGGAGGGGAGGCTGATTTAAACTCACTCAACTGATTTTTTAAAATATTTTTTTCCCTGCAGTCTACAATAACATTTTAAGACTAGAATGTTCTCATGGAATCAGTTACAAGAAGCCTTAAACCCTGAGGCAGCACGCATATTGTCAGCTGGTCAGGTTCACGCCCAACATATGTCGAATGTCCTTAATGAGGCTGAGTTAATATTCATGTTACAAATTCACACAATAGCTGAAAGTTGCAGAGCTACATGCTTCACATGAAATAAAAACAAAGATTTCCCTTTTGAATTTGTTTGTGAGTATACAGTGTAATGTTGCACATTTAGCCAGACGGACATGCTGATGGTTCTCCAGACAGTCTCAAGTTCACAGCAAGGCCATCAACAGTGCTGCCTTTTCATAACTCTGCCGCATCAAATCAATACCCTCATGTGTCAGACTGACACGCACGCTATCAGAGAGCCTAACAGGTAGGCAAAGCAGACAGACAGACAGACAGACTGCAGTCAAACAAGCCATCCACCCACTCAGCAAGGCAGCCAGCCAACAAAGGGAGATAGATAGTCATAGTCTACTCGTATCTCAGCTCTGTGTTGGCTTTAAACCTCTATGTATGGGAACATACAGTATTTATAGGCTGTTTATAGTGTTCCAGCTTGTGTGCAGCTTTTTCCCACAGGGTGTTAAAACCACTCGCAGTGCCATTTTCTCTCCTTCACCGTTATTCTCTTGACATCCACAAGATTCTTATCAGTGCAGCCTGTGAGGTATTCTAACTAGTGCCCGAGTTCAAATGAATGAATCCAGTACACGCTGTCAGTCAAAGTGCCTTTTGGTTTAAAGAGATGGACACGCAACCAGTTTCTCCAGTCCATCGCAGTTCAGAGCCAAATGTTGACGCTGTTGCATTTTTCTTTGATCAAGCTAAAAAAAAAAAAAAAAAAAAAAAAACCTCACAGCATTCCTTCTGTGTGAGTCTACAGCTGGCAGCCCACATTACACAAAGGGTCACCAAAGGGATGAGTGTGTTGTGGCTTTCTGTTGCAGTTGTGTGTTTTTTTTTTGCTACTTCTATTGTTTCTAATTTTTTCTTTCATTTTCAGCCCTGGCATTCTCTAACATAGAGAAACCGACTTTAGCATCAGTTTTCATTGTTTAATTTGTATATTCGTTCTACCAGTGTGTTCGTTATTGTGTTTAAACCCACATTCTTCTATGCTGTACCGACTGACAGCCAGCATGCTCTTCTCAGAGGGCCACAGAGTGGGGATCCTTTAAGGGTGGTCCATGTTCCTGTCATTTTGTGGTATTTGTAGATAAGGGGGAACGTGGTCTCTAATCTTATCTGATCGTCTCAGCTCTGCTCTCACTGGGCTCTGTGGGAATGACTGCATCAGGGAACCATTACTGGACATAGAAAAAAAAAAAGCTTTCCTGAATGCACCATCATTTGTCATTAATCACTTTTGAAGAGTGGCTATCATGTTCCAGACGGAAGCCAAACTGTAGCAAAAACAGCAGCACAGGAGCTTCCTGTCAGGGCCAAAAACAGCTGACCTTTGACACTCGTTATTTTTTTATCCAAAAAGTGCATTCTTTGTGTATTCTGAGCTAGATCCCTTTTCATCGCTCTCTCAATTCAATTCAATTCAAATGAGCTTTATTGGCATGACAGATAAACAATCCACACTGCCAAATCAGTACAGAAACATTTTGATCAACAAATGATTACAATATATACAGTATACAAATATAACAAATATAAATTAAAGACATTAACAATGAGATCATTTTTACGGTGTATTTCTAAGAAACATTCAGTGTATTTTGTCTTAATGTGTGACAATCACAGACTTTTCTCCCCACATCTCATTTCTCTCTCTCTCTCTCTCTCTCTCTCTCTCTCTCTCTCTCTCTCTGTCTCTTTCCCTCTGGACCTCCATGCCTCCATTATTCTCTCCACTTTTGGCCTCTACATGAAAGAAGTGGAATGGTTCCCATTCGTTGACTGTTTTTATTATACCCTGATTCAGTTTATGTGTACACAAACAGAACGCTTTAATATGATTTCGACTACAAATGCAATGTGCATGCTGCTTTGATTACATTAATTCTATTAAGTGAGTCATTAACTATTTAAGATAATGGCCCTCGAGTGAAGTCATATTTATTTCTGATTAGAAATAAAGCCTTACATGGTCGATTATCTTACCTGAACTCAAGATGAACTAATTCATTGGAGAGTAAAAAAAAACATCCAAACTGAAACATGAAGAAGGCATTTAAGACGTGATGCTGAAACAACATGTGGATTTGATTCAGACAGTTTAAAAAGGTGGATAAACACTGTCTCCTGCCTCCACTAAAGACTTAAGTCTCTTAACGTCTACATGTCTGCCCCTGAGCCATAGTTGGAACCAGCTCAGCTCTGCTTGTTAACTTTGACAGGTTCCATTGCGTGTCTGTTTTTCTGCATAACAGCGGTTGGAAAAAAGTTTGGAAAGAGAGTCATAATATTTTCTTATTTGACAGTGATGCACATGACAAAGTGTCTACATACAGAATGAATAAGAAAACAAATGTAAAGTGAAATTGCAGCATATGTCATAAACTGACACGAGGCATTTATGTCTCTGTTGGGGCCAACAGTCGAACCAAAGCAAGCACAACATATTGTGAAAGACACAACATCTCATGTCATGTACATTTATAACTTAATTTAAATCAGGCGGACTTGAAACTTTTGAATAAGAAGAAATATAATGTGCCTTTGAACATCTGAGTCACGGGAGCAAAAGAGGCTTTGTTCCAGTTGAATCTAAAATGTTGCTCTTCCAAACTGGATCAATCAAGAAGTCTTTAATACTCCTACCCTCAGAAGAAGTAAACTGATCTGATAAACAACTGGAACAACTGGAACAGGTGTTACCACACAGACCATAAGGTTTAGAAACCTAAAGAATACAGGATACATTTAGGATGTAAGGTTGTTAAAATGTGTAATACTTTGATTCTTCTTTGATCCCACTTCTTTCAAAATGATGTGTTCCTTGTTGTTTTGAAGGCAGAGTCAGTAGCTTTCTGAGTTTAGGATTGGATATATTTCAGCCATTGGACACCATTCATGCCGGCAAATATGACAGACGCAGACGTAGCAGCAAAAAGGAGAGAAAATATAATCATGATGAGGCGAAACGCCAAGCCAACAAATCTAGTTCCAAAACGAGGATTAGCTTCTACCTGTTGGGCGGAGCTGGCCTGCTTTCTGTTGTGCTAGCATGCAGTAGCTTGCAGTGTAGGTACAAGCAGTAGGCCTCAACATACAGAGTATATCTCGCAGTGTTTGTGAATTTCTGGGGTCGGTGAGCCCAGGAGGAGAGGCCCAGTTTGACTGTTGTGTTTACAAGCTGCAGTGAACAATGCTACGGACTCCACCTTTAATGATCGATAGTATCAAAAAAGTACTGTAAAAGTACTTTAAAATGATCGGATCTTTAGTCGTATTATTGTCAAAATTTGTTCTGAGCAAAAGAAAGAGAGTGCTGTCTAAATTGGATTGATCTAATTGATCTTATTTTTTGCATTTTAGACAGTGTGCAACTTCTTGTAATTGAAAACATGATATGATCCAATATTGGGTTCCTAGAACTTCTATTTTTTCCCCCGTGGTATTCTGGTATTGTGACAGCTCTATAGGAGCCATGATTGTGCTAACTAAGTCAACAAGTTACGGTAACAGTTGCTTTATAAGCACATAACGGTGGCCAAAGCCTGTGTAGTCACAGTTAAGCATTAGATTAATTAATCATTTTGCCACCATGCTGCTTTGACAGCTTGGTTCATAAACAGGACACGGCGGTGTGGTGCCAGTTGGTTTTAATTTTCTCCTCCTTGAAGCTCCCTCACAAGAGGTATCAGAATCACCCGCCTCTCCTCCTGAAACTGCTCATCTTGTTTGATCATTTTTCGCTGACTCTCTCCATCCTGCTACATTTTAGAGCACCTGCCAATGCCAAAAGTCTTTTCTAACAAATTAAGAGTGAGCTATGAAACCAGTTTTTACATCTTTTCTCCCCCTCTGTGTTTTTCTTTATCTCACTCTCTGTAGCTGTTCTGGCCGGCCAGTCCAGACCGTGTCCAAGAATGTCTCATGGCTGGGAAAGATCCAGAGGTGACTCAACAAACACTCACCCATACACAAAACACACACACACACACACACACACACACACACACACACACACACACACACACACACACACACACACACATACACACACAAACATTGCATAAGCACAGCAACGTGTTTGACCACTGTGTCTTACTGATGAAGGCAGGCAATCAGTTTTGAAGTCACACAGGGAGGGGAAGTATGTTAACTCAGATATACTCAGATATGGATCAGCAGCTTACAGGTCAGGTCATATCAGCTTTTCTCATCTGGTCTTTACTGAAAGCAATAATGTTACACTGCCAGACATTAGACACTGTCTAAAGAGTTGTGCAACAATAAAACAAGACAGTGGCATAATGGATAACAATCCAGAGCGGAACTGAATGAATCTGATTCGTGTAGAAACAATAAACAAACAAGAGAGTTCTGATGCTGGCCAGGATATCACAATTAGTAAAATAGATTAAAAGCATGTGACACTCATCGGGTAACACACAAATCTGATATGTGAATATGCTTATGCTTCAGTGCATCTTAAGAAATGCATGTTCTCTGTGCATAAAAAACTTATGTAGCTGTAGAAAAGTGTAAGCTTTATTTCTTAATTGCACCTGAAGAGAAACGTGATTACACACCGACCGATTAATCAGCCAGCCGATAATATCGGCCGATATTACCAAGTGACTATCGATGTCGGCTAAATTTATTGCAGATGTGTTCCAATATTTCTGGATTTATTCACCAGTTAATTAGCATTTCATTTGAGTATCGTTGGATTCCATCTGCAGTTCTCTTTCTGGCTGTCACCAGCAGAGTGTGCATACAGCACATTACAACAATCATTATCAATATCTTATTTATAAATATTTTCCACGAGTGTTTGATAACTGCATTTTAAGGATCATCACAAATCTAAATCTATCTCTACAAATTGAAAATAGATCTAAGAAAGATATCGGCCGATTTATTGGTATTAGATTTTTTTCTCCCTCCAATATTGATATCGGTATTGGCCCCAAAAAATCCCATAATGCTCAGGCCCTAAACGTAATGTTCACTTTGCTCCTATAGTGTTTAAAATTTGACCAATGACTATAAAGTCCCCCCAACCATAAAGTGCACTGCATTCTTCATGTATTCTAACATTGTGTTCCCTTCATGGTTTGTGTCTCTAGCTGGAGTGTGCAAACTTCCTGCGAGTCCTGCAGCCTTTCAACCAGACTCACCTGTACATTTGTGGCACTGGAGCCTTCAACCCTCGCTGTGCTTTCATACCCACTGGCATCTTCCAACAGGTATTATTGCAAGCAATGCCACCTTTCACAAAGACTGGAAATGCTCCATTGTGTCTTTTCAATTTCTCCTAACCTGTGAAAGCAGCACATTCACATCATCTGTTTTCAGTTAATGAACGAGTGGCAGAATGAGCAGCATCACAAGGGGGAAAAACAGATGTTAAAAATGAACCAGACGTATGCATAATTATGAAGATCAGGTCAGACACATATTGCATCCACAGAAAACACATTTTTTCCTCATCAGCCACCATCCTATGTGTGTGTTCTTACTCCCAGTCGTAGCCCCTATCCACAGTCCTATCAGCAGAGCTCTGAAATATCACGTGTGGTGTCTGCCCCTATACCCACATATCCACCAGTGGCACTACCTGTGCCATCTGTCTGTAATATATACAGTGTACTTTTTGTCATTGAGGCTGCACTCTGTGGGCGACCGCACACAGGAGATTTTTTTATTTGACATTTGTATGTCAACGTTAATGTACATGAAACTCTAGAGCCCAAGAAAGTGTGTGTCCTTTATCCCATACTGATTATGCTGGTCATTTCTCAACATGTTGACACATGTGGGTTATCATTTTGTCAGAAATAGGCTAATGGTTCTAAATTGCTTCAGTTGATCGTTGCATTTGTGTGCATGTGTGTGCGTGTGTGTGTCTGTGGTGTTGTGTGTAGGCAGTTTTGTGAGTGTTGGATCAGAGACTGTGTGTTTTTATCACACCTCACATTCCTGTGTTCACATTTTTGAGGCTGTGTGCATGCCTGTCTGAAGTATGTGCATGTGTGTATGTATGTGTGTGTGTGCGTGTGTGTGTGTGAGAGAGAGAGAGTGAGTGTCAGGGAAAAAGCTAATCCCATGAAAGGCTGTGTGAGAGATCAGAGAGGTTCAGACGTGAAGCTTAGAGGAGCTGGTGGTGCTGACTGATTTAAGACTGAACTTCACACATTTTGAAATCCCTCCACTTAGCCCGATTACCCTCAATTATCTGCTCAATCTGTGAGCGTTTGCATGTGTGTGTGTGTGTGTGTGTGTGTGTGTGTGTGTGTGTGTGTGTGTGTGTGGCAGGGTAGTTCAGATGACATTTGGAACAGAATCAGTGGACACATATTCAATTATGAATTATAGAATGAATTACAGAAAGAATGAATTGATGTGTCCCAGTAATAGTAGTAGTATAAAAGATGGTTCAAATGAAATAAAGAGTCTTCCTTAACAACTTGTTTCCTCTTACTTCTTGTCTTCTGTCCGGTGGATTTTCTCCCTGTCCGTCTGAGTGACCTCTGTCTTTGTTTTCTTTGACAGTCGGAGCACCAGACTCTCTCCTACAGCCAGACAGAGTGTGGGAAGGGGAAGTGTCCCTATGACCCAATCCAGAAAACAGCCTCAGCCGTTGTTGGTAATTATTTAGTTTTTTCAAAGCATATAGTGAGGTGTTGATGACCAGTGTTTATCCGGAGAATAAATTAAATGGAAAACTTAACAAAAGGTTTGTTGCAGAACACGTCATGATTATGATCAGTAAGGAAAATATGAATCATGTTTCCACAGTTAATGGGGAAAAGGCAAACTGGATTTGGATAGTTTAGAAAACATACACTCAAAAGGTCTTTTGACCTTAAACTTGTTGTTATAATCAGAACCACTCCTTATTTGCCAAACTGACTTGACCCCAGAAAATGTGTAAGACCAAATACCTTAGTATGAATATCCATTGTGAGAATACCAAACTATCTGATTGTAATACATTCTGCCATGCCCAGGTCTGCCTAACCCTTTAATTATTCTGTGTAGATGGGGAGCTGTATGCTGGAATCACCTCAGACTTCATGAGTCGAGACTCCGCCTTCTTCCGTAGTCTGGGAAATCGTCACGTCATCCGCACGGAGCAGTACGACTCCACCTGGCTGCAGGGCAAGTGCAAATCTATTAATGAATTAGGAATCCAAAAAGTATGAAGCTCATTCTTTCTTAAACTAAACTCAAAGGATTCTAGTAGAAGTCGCTTCATATGAACGTAGTTTTATTACTGCAGGATGTCCTTTAGACATCTGCAAATATTAGAATTACACATCGACCATTTTTCATTAAAAGGCCAGAAAAATAAAAAGCTCAGCATTCAGTAAAAGGCTATCCAAGTTTTTTTTCGATTATCTTTTTTGTAGTTAGTTTAGAACAATAACATGTTTCTTTTTAACTGTCAGATGTCTTGTAAAAAAATCTACTCCCTAGCAGCAGTTTCCAATATTAAATACAACAGAATAGAAATGTCCAAAGTTCATGCTGATGGTCTTCTCCTTTTGAACGTCTTAAAGTGGCATCAACATTCATTTCAGTCTGTTTCATAACCTGCTAAAAACTCCTCACAGGAGCTTTAATTTCATACAATAACGACATCATTAATGTTTATTCTGTTTCTTCATCTATTTCTTAACTCCTTGGTTTCTAATCTGAAGATATCTTCCTCATTGCTCCTGTTTGTGTAAACTGACTATTCTGAACCATGCTGAATGTCTTTTGCTCTAAATCTTCCACATTCTCACGCCTGCTGCACGTCCAGTTGTTTTTCTTTTTTTCTTCTCAGGCCAGTATGTTGACGTCTTCTTCTGATAACAACTCGATACATGTTGACTCGTTCTGCTGTTTGTAAACTAGAGTGAACATCCACCATCTCTTCACTCTATCTCTATCACTCTCTGTTCACCCCTACATGCATATAACCTCCATATCAGCCGAGGTAGATCGTGCTGCAGCTGATTTGATAGTTTACCTGTCTTTCTGCCCGTCCATCCAGATGCCCAGTTTGTGCGGGTAGCGCCGCTGTCTGAAACTGATAACCCAGAAGACGATAAGGTCTACGTGTTCTTCACTGAGCGCGCTCAGGAGGCAGAGGGGGCCGCTGGGAAGGTGCTCTACTCCAGAGTTGCTCGAGTGTGCAAGGTATGGAGAGGGTTTTTTTTTCTTCTAAACATTAAGATGAGTTTTGACACATATCAGAAACTGTGTGCATGTAGTTTATGTAAACATGTGTTTGTCTGTACAGGTAGCGTTTGTACATGCTGCACAGTGTTTGGTCTGATGATATAAACATTTATGGCTTTGCACATCAAAGTAAAATTGAGAATCTCAAACCTTTGGTGAACATGTAAAGCTATTGCAATAATGATTTAACCTTTTATTCTGATGTCAGAAACCTCACACATGATCAATTAATTTAGAAAATAATCAGATTTTTATGCAGTGATTTCTAAGTTGCAGCTTTATCACATTACCTTTATCATAAGTATTACATTTTTATTTAAAGAGGACATATTATACCCCTTTTTCTACATTTTCAAACAGTCCCCTGGGGTCTAAATGAAACATCTGTGCTGTGCTTTGGTCAAAATATAACATGAATCAAGCACCAGAGGAGGTCTGTATAAACCAGCTCTCTCAGAACGCTCCGTTTTAGTGTGTGTGTCTCTTTAAATGCGAGCCCCCCCTGAGTTTTTCCTGAAAATAGCGGACCTGCACAAAAGTTTTGCTCTAGGCTGGGGGTGGAGTCCATGGGTTGAGATACCAGGGGAGGGGTTGTTTTTGTTTTTTTACCAGAATCCCACTGTGACATCACTAGGAGAGCAAATTTGAAACAGAGCATTTTTCTCTGTGTTGTAAGACTTATACAGACCACAAACAAAGGAATGGATGGGTTCATTTCACATTTTGTGGGTCAGTAGACACTCAGGTTACCCAGATATATGTTCAAAAACATTGTCAAAGTTTTCATAATATGGCCCCTTTAAATGTATGTGTTGGATCTCCCAGCAGTTTAGTTGACTGTTCATTTCAGATGATGAAGTATCATAACTCTTAAAAATTGCATTTTCTGACTGTTAAATGTCCTATTTTTGTGGATAATCATCAAGTGGTTCTCATGAAATATTTTTATATAAAAATGTAAACTGATTAAACCTCTCATTTGCATAATCTGATCTTTTTAGGTCCATGTAGGTTGCGTTAGGATAATGTAGAACAATGACTTACTTGTGACCTAAAGACAAATTTTAATTTGACTTCTTGTGGTGTAGAACGACATCGGAGGCCAGAGGAGTTTAGTGAATAAGTGGAGCACCTTCCAGAAGGCTCGTATGGTGTGCTCTGTTCCAGGACCAGACGGCCTACAGACACACTTTGATCAGCTGCGTGAGTACATATAAACATGTGACACATGTTACATACACAGTGAAACAAATCAGACACGCCTCATTAAGATACTCAGCTAGTATTTGAGTGTGTGTGTTTGTGTTTATAAGTGTGAAACTGTGAGCCGAGGAGTTTTGAACTTCCTTCTCAAATGTTTTGAGGTTACAGCGGAAAGTTTGCAGACTTCAGAAACTCAGAGCTCGATTAACGCTTAAACAGTGTGATCCTGTGCGTGTGTGTGTATGTGCTTGTCTGTGTGTGTGGGTATGCAGGGCTCCACTGTTGCCACGGTGATCAACAGCCCTGTCGGTCACCTTGGGTTCGTCTTCGTTCCTCAGCCTTGGTAACCACGGCAACTGGCCTCAACTTTCAATTGCTGTGGGTTTTTTCATTATCAAGGGTTTGCGCCAGTTTCCTCCTGTTGGCTCAGTGTGTGTGTGTGTGTGTGTGTGTGTGTGTGTGTGTGTGTGTGTTTAGGAGCAGGTCCATGTAGGCGTGAGTCTTGATGTGTATTTTGAGCAAATTAGGCAGCATGCTTCAGTACTCTCTGTGTATAGCATTTTGAAGAACCCACATAAGCACACAGGTGTCTTTTCAAACCTCCAGTACTTATCAAAATGCTCATTAGTTTGTAGGTTTGGACTTAGCTGTCTTGTATGGTATTAACGCCAAGTGAGAGTGGCAAATGTGCTGCAACACAATCAATACTGCAGCATCAAGGAGCCCATCTCCCGACAAAACACAGACAGTAGAGAATGGTTTTGATCCATCGACCTCTGGGTTATGGGCCCAGCATGCTTTCTCTACGCCACTCTGCTGTAAACCACCCCAGATGGGACTCGAACCCACAATCCCTGGCTTAGGAGGCCAGTGCCTTATCCATTAGGCCACTGGGGCTTGTGTGAGTGACACAATAGGCAGGCGTTATGTTGGGGTCCAGTGGAAAAATACAAAGAGCAATAGACAATATGCAGACAAAGCAGACAGGGACATAAACAGCAGGGAGCCGACATGATGTGCAGAGCAGTGAAAACAGGCAACGAGAGACAAAAAGCAGTTATATAGTGAAGGAACAACACTTAGGCCCGGAGCACAGACTGTTTTCTGCTGTGGTTGTTTCTGGAAAGCCACATACTGTGTGAGGGCATTCAAAACTATAAATGCTTACAGCTGAAGGATAGATCTACATTCAGACCTCCTTTGAAAATTCTCCAGCAGACCTTACCTAAAAGATAATCAATTTCAGACACAATGAGGTGTATGACTCACCCAGGAAACTAGCTTATACAAGTTCACTGCGCTATCGTTCCATGAAAACTGAAGCAGAGTATCATGTCAGAGATCTTCAGTTGGACTTGAACACCTTTTCATAAGCTGTTTTCACATGTGCAATCACATCAAAACCAGCTATGAAAATGTTAGTGTCGTAAGGTGCTTAACTAAAGCCGTTTTCACATTTGCACTCCTGAAAATATCTAGATCATTTCAGGAGGACTGCTCCGGTTATTCTCCTGAACTGGCTGTTCACATATGCTCCCCACGGCGGGAGACAGAGTCTGCAACAGAGTCTGCTATAGGATGCTATAATGAGAATATTTTCCTTAATATCAATGCTATGTGTAGTTCCACGGATTCATACTAGGGGTCTGAAAGGAGAAACTCCGGGTGAAGTCCGAGGGAAATATTCTGCTATTTGCTCCCCTTGCAAATATCAGGAGTTTTGTCAGGAATCTTCTGCAAGTGCAAAAGCCCTAATACAGAGATTTTGCGATAGTACAATTAGGAAGCTCGGGTGTAACTCTGGCTTTAGTTTTATACTGAACCAGTCCTAAACTGATCATATCGCTGCGCCAGTGTGTGATTTTTATGCTGTGCTAGCATTGTGAGAGCAAAAGAGGCCTTATCTGTAAACAAGTAGTGCCATCATCGTCATGCACACATTCACTGTGCTTGTAGACATTTTGTTAATGGGAATTTTAAGAGCCATATGGTTGACTTAATGTTGGGAAAGCTGTCTTCTATCTTAATTAAGGCATGACCTATATTATTGGACTAGCTCTGTGTAATGTTTATATTATTTGTGCCTAGCAGCATCTAGTTTAATAGAGTTAGCACTGGATTATTTCAAGTGATAAACCTCTTCGTTGTGGAACCTTTGCTCTTCCACTGCACCATGTAGCTATCTGTCATATCAGAAGGGACTGTAACCAACAATCATTGGAGGCCAGTTCATCATCTTTAAGGCCAATGGGGCTTCAGCATATAAGCATTTCAGAAATGCAGATAGAAAGCAGTGAAATGGAGGTATAGGGGATTTTGAGAGCAGACTGGTTTCTTATCTTTGCTGTCTCTGTAAACAGAAGATTCTCAGGGTAAAAGACGTGACTCTTCTGCTCATACACGCACATGCAAACACACACAAACATACATCTTTAGAGATGTTACACACATTTCGAGCCACAGCCTGTCTGTGTACACAAGGAAGCTCGGACTTGTCCTGAGCATAAACATTTCTACCCAGCATGCCTCTGACCACGTTTGACACATCTGATAAGGGGGGAAAACTTGTTTGTGAATACACTTCAGCACACACACACACACGCATGTACACACCCACCCACCCACACACACCCAAACAAACAAAACCACAAACCCATATACAGGAGATTAACCCATCAGGTTAAGAATGCTGTCAGTGTTGTGTTTATGCCACGCTCCACCACACAGAAACACTACAAATCCCATAAACCCCCGACTGTCTGCGGGTCCTTCATTGAAGCAGCGGGTACCACCTGGTCGTTTGTGTGTGAGTGTTTGTGTGTATTTCTTAACAGATTTGTTTTATTTTACTAAATAGAATCACATATGTCATCATCTGTCACATTAAATTACATTATAATTCAATGAATTAGAAATTTAAAAAGGACTTGAGGTGTTGATAAAAGACAGCAGGACACATGTGAATCTGCACAAGCACAATAATAGCTCATAGATTACAGTATATAAAACGTATTTACATAAACATATAACTAACTTCTGCAACAATGTTTCCATAACTGGAACTGGTCAGAACAGAACTGAATCTGATTTTGGACAGGACTAAAATTATCACATTTTTGGAGGCATCAAACTTAAAAAAGAACGCATCTTGGAGAGCACTGACTCATGCAGCCAAACAATTTACTTGCACTGCACCAGTCATAAATCAGAACTTTTTTTTTAAGTAATACAAATAGAGAATGGGGTGGTTTTCATTTCAGAACATTTCAAGGTTACATAGTTCCTGAAAAAACGCAGTGTGTCTGTGTGTGTCTGTGTGTGTGTGTGTGTGTATGTATATGTGTATGTGTGTGTGTGTGTGTGTGTGTGCGTGTGTGTGTGTGTGTGTGTGTGTGTGTGTGTGTGTGTGTGTGCTATGTCTGATGAATCGTAACTTTTAGAGGCAGCTTGAGAATGAATGACAATACATCTTTAACAGAGTCCATTGTTTATAGCTTTGACTGTGTTTTAAAGCTCTGAATGATGAATAACCACAATGATCAAGCCTGGGCAAATCACAACATCCTTCTGTATTTAAAGTTTACAACTATGTATTTGTTTTTTTGTTATTTTAAGGCCATTTAAATAGTTTATTCACATCTCTTTCCTGTATTGCATTTTTGTGGCTGACTCACATATATGATAAACTTTCGGTCTTCCTGTAGGCTTTTTTATTTGACTAAGCATCAGGATTTTGATGAACTGACTTATGACACAGGATCGCTTTGAGTTTGCTTTCCAGATGTTTTGCTGTCTGTTGTTGTAGAGGCTGTGTTCACTTCCATTAGGATCACTGTTAAAGTGATGTGTCTGGCTCTTGTTGTTGATGTAGCTCATTGTGTGAAATTGTAAGTCAAGCATCATTGAACCACAATTATTCCAAACCAAACTGTCGAGTGGAAGTGGCTCGTGTTTACGTTCTTCCCTCTCATGGAGGATAGATTTTCTTACCACTGCCACAGGGAAGGATTCTCCGCTATTTACTGCTGCCGTGTTGTGGTTATTGTTGTTGTTGTTGGGGAGAAGTCATGCTATGAGGTTTTGGAGCAGGAGAGAGATGGTCCTTTGTGGCCTGACTCTGAGTCATAACACCAGAGACACTGAGGTATTTTCATGCATTTTGGGCATTTATTTCGCTTTGTGTGTGCGTGTGTGTGTGTGTGTCTGTGTGTGTGTGTGTGTGTGTGTGTGTGTGTGTGTGTGTGTGAGAGAGAGAGAGAGAGAGAGAGAGTCAATGTTCCAGACATAAGACAGCACCCATATTCTCGTCACTGCATCACCCACTGATGCCGGAAAGGAATAAAGAGGTATTTATGTTAAGAAGGACGTCACTAGAAAAGCGTGGGACTGAACTGAAGGCAGAGGGTTACTTCTTGAAAAAGACACGAGAAGAAAGCTTAAGGAGAAGATTATATAATATTTTCAAGTTTTAACCAATTAAGTGAGATGAAAAAAAAAACTGTCATCTTCCCAGCCCCTCGGTCTGTAGCAAATGCAACAAAGGAAGGAGTAAAGGATGAGCCGAGGGTTATTGAGAGGACAGAGAGAGTAATCTGGAGAAAAAACTCACCAACCGTCTGGATGTTTGCATAAAGAGACGGCCATAAATCAGTTGGTATAAATACCAATAGTTCCTAGTTAATTTAAAATATTATAACCAATGAGTAAACTTTTTTTTTTTCAATGCAGCTAAAACATCAACCTAGACCAGGGCTTCCCAAATGTTGCAATGCTAAGGACCCCACTATAGGGTTAGTCTCTGACAGGAGACCTCCCTCTTAATTACATTCCTTGTACATTACAATAGCAATAAAAATAAAAAATAAAACTTCTTAATTCAATGTATTTTTTTGTGAACAGTCAGTGATCTGTCTTACTGTTACTGTTGATTAATGTTAACAGTAAATATATTTATCTGATAAATCAGTGTCACTCACTGCAGCTTCTCAATTCTGATTGGC